GGCTGAGGCAGGAGGATCATCGAGAGTTAGAGACCAGCCTGGGCTACAAAGTGACCTCAAGGCCAGCCTGAACTGCATAGTGAGACCGTCTCAAAAAAAAAAAAAAAAAAAAAAAAAACCAAAACCAAAACAGAAATATGGAAAGAATGTTAGCAAAAAATAAGTATTGTTTTTGTTTGTTTTGGAGACGGGTTTTTACTATGTTGCTCAAGCTGGTCTGGAACTACTGGGCTGAGACAATTCTTCTGCCTCAGCTGCTGAGTATCTGGTAGTGCTGGGGGGTGCTCCACCCCTACCAGCTAAATAATCTTAAAGAACCATTCTACTTAGAAAAAGTAGGAAACGTGGATTATAACTGAGTAACACTTAAAATTACCTGCTTTATTTTCGGAGCCTTACATGGAAGTCCACTCCCACTATTACTAATTCTTTCAGAGATTAAAAAATAGAGAGGATTTTCTAGGAATTTTGGAAAAACAGAAAAGTGTACTATGTAAAGTGACTGGAGACTGAGAAACGGCCTTATTGGTTTATCAGTGGGGATACTGGGGGTTTCCTTTAGGACAACACTAGGAGTTATTGGAAAAAATTTATGTATGATCTCCCAAAAATACTACGGAATAGTTCCTAGAAGGTGGGAAATCAAAGGGAAAAAAGACCCTAATTCACTTGTAGAAAAATTCACATCAGTCTCTCAATTGATCTTTCTTGCTTTTTTTCAGTTCTAAAAACTTAGCCTAGAAAAGCAATGTAAAGATCTGGGAAACTGTCGAATTCTTTAGTATCCATGGAGACTGTCTTAGCTCTTTTTCTGGAATCAGTTCCTCTGAATATCATGTCATTACTTAAGAAAATGGAGATGAAAACATTATTTGGTGCATCTTCCCCTGACATACAACTTTACTAAATTGACAGTTCTGTTCTCTTAGAGCTTAGGACCATTTTTCCAAGTAATAGACAAATGTATGTGCAGCCTGGAAGTACCTGCGTCATTAACTACACATTTTTCCAAGCTAAACAGGCACTTTTTAAGTATCTGAGGAAATGAAAGGACATTTTTATTTTAGAAAATTAAAGTTGCCACATTAAGAAAAAGCATTTGTGTGTGTGCACGTGCACGGGTATGATAAAAGGTGAACAGTGGATGACACCTAGGTGAACAGTATATGGGTGTTCACTGGATGACTTTTTCCAATTTCCTGCAGGTTTGAGATTTTATAAAAACTGAAGACCAAAGTCATCAATCTTAATTTGTTCTCAACCCATGCATCCTCTAATGACCTGCTTTAACTAAACATGTGGCTCATTACCTGTTACTTCATGAAGATTAACCACTAGTGACATAACCTTTCGTTTTGTCTGACAGAGCTTCGCCGTGCAGTTGAGGCTGGCCTTGAACGCATTCTGCAGCACAATGTGAGTTCAAGGCCAGCCTCAGCTGCATAGCGAAATTCTTTGTCAAAAAAAATAAAAACTACCATCATCTTGGAAGGCAACATGGAGCACTGCCCTTCCTGCCAAGCCAACTGGGATCCCTACGTCCACACGGACACACCGGAGTACCCAGGAAACAGGAAGCTGGCCAGCGGCGTCGCCCACTGCGGCCTCCCTGGCTCACTTCCTCGTTTAGCAGAAGAAGGCATGATAGGAACAGGTGGGTTTGGAGCAACTGTGCGCCCATTGCACAGGAGGGCACACGGATTTGGGGCGAGGGAAGCGCCGCGCCCGTCGGAAGGCTGGTTCCGCGCCCGCCAGGAAGCCCCGGGGCGGCAGGACGCGGCCGGCGGCGGGGAGGGCGGCCCCCGCGGGCGAGGGCCGGGCCGGGAGGGAAGGGGCGGCGGAAGGCGACTCGGAGGGCCGCCGCCCCCCCGCTCCCCGCGCAGCCTCTCCCGCCCCTCCCCACCCGGCTCCCTCAAGTCTCCACGAACGGAAATGGGAGTCGCAGCGTCGGGGACCAGCGGAAACAAAACACAGAGGCGGCAGCGGGGGGGCCGCCGGGGGAAAGGCCCCGGAACGAGGCCGCCGCGCGGGCCCGCGCTCCCCTCCTCCCCCGCGGCCGCACTCACCCGCTCCGGAGTCGGCCCCGTCGCCCTCGCCCCGCTCCAGAGCCGGCTGAGAAGGGCAGCGGCGCGGGCTCCACGTGCAGCGCCTCTCCGCTGAGACCCGCAGCCGCCCCGCCTCGAAGTGGAAGGCCCCGGGCCCTTCCCGCGGAATCGGCGCCGAGAAACCCCAAGCCCTCTCCCGCCTCCCAGACACCCCCGGGTCCGGGACTACAACTCCCAGCAGGGTGCGCGACACGAACGCCCGGGGTGACGGAGGCTCACGAGGCACAACGCCCCAGTCTGCTTTGTTTCACACTGTCACTTTCCCTGCACAGTATACACTCAACATCCCCAAGAAACCGGACACTGAATTCGAGTAGAGCTTGAACTAGGGGAAAGGCCAACGTGCGCATGCGTGCGGAGCAATGTGTCCAACAGGAAAAAGAGCGTGTCAAATTAGGGGGAGGAAAGATGGCGGAATCTTCGCCAGGGGACCCGGAAGCACTTACCCTCCACTTCCTCCTCCTCTTTGCCTTCTGTCTCACCTAGAGCTGTCCGGTCGCAGACAGTCTCCGAGACGCTTCCTGTCCGGTAAGCGTCGAACGACTGGAACGGTGACCCACAATGCATTGCGATTGGCGGCAGGCGCGGGGGGCGGAGCCAGGGCCGGAAGTAGAACGGTAGCGGTGGCGGTGGCCCTGGGAGCTCGGGACTGAGTGCAAGGTGACTGGCAGGGTAGTTAGAGCAGCGTGGCCTCTGGGGACCGCGATCCTGGGTTTCTTCACAGGGTTTACACTGCCCGTCACCCCTGACCTACTGGGAAAAGAGGGCGGCCCAGTGTCCTTGGCACCTTCACGGTCTGTGCCGGGGTCACTGCTGACCTTGGAGCTACTAGGGCTTCAGATTTGCCATGGAGGCGATAAATACAACGCCCTGTGTGCTGGCACACGGGGGAGGCGGGGAGGCCGAGGGCTTGTGGCTTGCAGCCCGCCCGGGGGAGCCCAAGGTCAGGCTTGCCCACCCAGGACTCGCGGGAAACTTTCCGAGCAGCGCAGCGCGCTGGGCAGTTCGCGTCCTAAAAATGATGGTGGTGCTCAGGCCTCGTTAGGCAGTTTTGTGGGTTTAGCGGAGGATTGTGTTCCGAAGAGGCAGCAAACTCATCCGGCTGGTCTCTCATTGCTATAAATAGTCCTAGCTCTGTCCTAGCTCTACCCCCCCCCCCCCCCCCGCCCCACTGATTCCTTCCCCGGTCTGTTGTTGTTGCTGTTAAATTCCTAACAAAGGCTCTCCTAGAACCTGATCGTATTTGAATAGAGAACTTGACACAGATGGTCCTTTACATCCATGTGTGTACTGTCGTGTCTTACGCGTGATAGTGGATAACCCACACTTACTGCTTTAGCTGTGACAAAATGAAAGAACACAGGAGAAGCAACACATTTTGATAAGGGACTATGTATGTGTTCATTTTGTGGACGAGTTTATAGAATTTAGAGCATGAGCGCTGTTAGGGGGCAAAAAAGGGTTCAGGAAAAAGGCCAAATTAGAGCTCTGTTTCGGGAGTCGTTAGTACTTAGTTGGTAGATAATTTAAAAAAAAAAAATAGTTTTACCTATGTTGTAGTAGGAACATGATCTCGGCAATCAGCTGTACAGCAAATTAACTGTGGGTATGTGGGCAATTTAATGACCTGAGACATAATTCTATTATCTGTAAAACAGAGATAAGAATCCTTTTCCTTAATACTGTTTTAAAAGTGCAAGGGAGATACATTAAGCGCTGAAAAAAATGTTAAGTTGCCTTACTGCTGGGTGTTAAGCGTGTCCTTAGGTTGGCAGCATATTAAGTTGGGCAGTATTTTGATGTATTTGTGTTGAGCTGCTTTGTAATCTTGGACCAGAAAACCTCTTAAGTTTGAGTTTCTCTATGTATAAAAATGGAAATGGTGGTGACACCATATAAGGTCATTTGTTGTTTTCTTGTAGTCTTAAGTATTTTTCATTGATAGGGTGTAAGAGTAATATGTGAATTCTTTAATTTGTTCCTTTATGGCCGGTGGAGGATCTCTTGTTGATTGGTTTCTTTCCTAGTTTATATGTTATTCCAGGGTTTGTCAACTTCAGCACTATTGACAATCTGGACAGTTGGAGGGGGGTGTGCTTATAGGGTATTAAAAGCATCCTTGGCCTCTGCCCACTAGAGGCCGGTAGCACTCATCCTAATCAGGACAACCAAAAACGTTTTCAGACACTGCCAAATGTTTTCTGGCAGATAAAAATCTTCCCTCCTCCATCCTCTTCCTATTTGCGAATCATTATGGAACGGTGCTGTCTTGTAACTGATGCTTCCCAAACTCTCAGTGGTGAAAGGCCAGTCTTACCCTCCTCTGTGGATACTTTGGAAGACTATAAAACAAGTGAATTAGCAGAAAACAGGAAAGAGAAGAAAACTAGGCACACATAATACAAATTCTCAGTTTTTATTACTAAGTTCAGTGCAAAAATTACTTCTTTGAATTGCCATAAACTTTCTAAATGCTTATTTTCAATTTCTCTATTACTGTAGATCAGTAACAGTTTGTATACTTTCACTGGTCCCTTCTGATAACTTAATAGAAGTGGAGAGCTAGAATAATAATATTGATGATTAGGTAATTGGGGAAGGGACATGGGAAACATGTTAGCATATCTAGTTTTGACTTTACAGTTCAGAAATGCCCACAGGGTATGCTGAGTGTGGTGGTGTATGCCTGTAATCCCAGCTACTCAGGAACTTGGAAGCCACCTTGGGCATCAGTGAGACCCTACCTTAGTAAAAAAAAAGGTGCTAGCAGCTATATTGAGTTGTAAATCATTTATTGCCTTCCAATTCAGGGTTCAATAAGCCCTTTCAATTTATAGACTAAGTCTTTAGCTGAGGGAGATTTTCTACTAGCAATTGCTTATGGCCTCTTTGTTCCTTTCTTTTTAGAATTCCTATTTGTATATGTCTGTTGTAATTTGGAATATTTTGCATTTGATCTTTAAATCAACTAAATCTGGACTTAACACGGTTCTTCCTCTTGATTTGTCTACATTTTATTTACTGACATTTTGTAAGTTAGAAAAGTAAGTTATTTTAGCTCTAGCAAGTCTTTTAATTCTTAGTTTTGAAATTTAGACTTTCACGATTGAGGATGTAACTCAATGGTACAATACTTATTTAGCATGTGTGAAGCCTTAGGTTTGATATCCCAAGCAGCAGGAAAAAAAATAGATTTTTATCTTGTTTACAGATTCTTTTTCATTGATTAGGTAGAGGTATTTTCTAATCTTTCACTCGTTTTTTGCAGGGTTCAGGTGGGCCTGTGCTATTTTTCTTTGGTGTTTCTTTTGGATGTTGATTTAGCTGTTGCAGTGTTGTTGAATGGCTGGAGTCTTGCAGCTGGACAGGGGAGGCAGTCCCATCACTGTGGATCTCTGAAGTGTAACAGTGTTACACTCTGAAGGGTATTATTCCTGGCTAAAGCAACTGTCTTCACTCTCTGCCTTTTGGTCTTTTGAAGGGTCAGAGAAACTTGCACATTGATTTGGGGGCAAGTTTTCTTTTCCTGCTAGGGTGGACAGTGTTCTGCCCTCTACTGTTTCCTCCGGCCCAAGACTAAGTTCACGGGAAAATAAACCCCCTCCCAGATTTTGTTCTTTCATTCATGCTTGAGTTTTTCCTAACTGTTCTTAGTTGCTAGGGCCCCTATGTAATCTTTTGCAATAGGGAATGAGAGGGAAAGGAGATAGGGTCTGGTACAGACTGAGTTCTGGTATTACTTAGTTCTGTAGCAGTTAGAATTAGATTCCCACTTTGTGATACATTGAGAGTGTTTTACAAAAGTGTATTAACATTTTGGTGCTTGTTTTCAGTACTGTAGAATCACCATGATTCTTCAGAGGCTCTTCAGGTTTTCCTCTGTTGTTCGGTCGGCAGTCTCCGTCCATTTGCGAAGGAATATTGGTGCTTCAGCAGTGGCCTTTAATAAGGAACTTGACCCTATACAGAAACTCTTCGTGGACAAGATTAGAGAATACAAGTCAAAGCGACAGTAAGTGGATAGTCAACCACAGTGTAAATATAAATATTGATAGTATGTGAGCTTCATGATTTAAGTCCCAAACTTTATTTTCTTTATAAGGAATCCAAGGAAGCACTCTATTAAATGTATTATCATTTAAATTGATAGCATCACTTTAAGGTCATTATTTTGGAGTTAACTTACAGAAGTACACAGACTCATAGAAATCGTGTTGCAGCTATTTTTGAGGAAAGTGAGTCCCTTGGACATGATTAGTGTAAGTCCATAAAAACTAATAAGGAGAACAAGTAAACAAATTATGATTCTCATAGTGCCCTTTCTGTGACATCCTGATTTGGGAGAAATATAAACAGCATAATTTGTTTTTCCTTTAAGACTATTTTCATAAGAACAAAAGACTTTTAAAATGGCTCCAGGAAAATCATGATTACAGAGCTGTACTGTTTTAGAGATGAATGACCACTTTTGTGATCATTAGGTCCATCCTGCAAATCTTAGGAAAGCAGTGTATATCAACTTATAGTTCCATTTCTTTCCAGTTAGTTGTCTACCTTGTGCAAAGCAATGGGCTGTTAACTGTGGTAGACAACACTGTATATTTATAATCTTAACATCTAACGGGTAGAAAGCTTATAAACAAGAAAATATAAGGTCAATGGCTTAGGCACTTACATACAATGACATACAGTACTGTTTATAAAGTTTATGGGAAGGAATGTACATTTCTAGCTGAAGACCTCTTGGAAGGCTTCTCAGAACAATTATAGTTACTGTTTTATCATGCTTTGAGGGCAGTGATTGGGGTCATTCATCCCTCTTGAGAATCTCATAGATAGCTTGTAAGTCATCTTCACAGTTTAAAAACAAAAAAATGCAGAATTTGCTTCCCTGACTTTGCTTTTAGCTTGGAAAGAGTCTCAGACATGCAGAAGACCATTAGCAGACACCTACACCTAAGGGTCTACCTCAGGATAAAACTAGAGAGCACAAAATATATTTAAGGACTTGCATAATTTTGTTCCTCTGGAGAACAGGCCATATGAGGAATGTATTAAAGAGAAGAATGAAGGAAAGCCGTTAGTGTTAGATTGGCAGTTAGGATGTGTGTGGTGGGCATTTGTAAGCAATTAAGGGTTTTAAAATAGGGTAGTGGCAGTACATAAGATTGGAATGAGAAGAGAGCAGAGACAGCTATGTTAGGAAAATAAAAGCATTAAAGAAAACAGTCTCTATAGCAGTGGGTACAAAAAGGTGGTGTTATCAAGATGTTAAGACACTGAGCACTGATCTCAGTGACCTGGTGGAGCGGCAGAGGAGAGGGAACATATAAAAGCAAAACAAACACCAGACTTTTGAGATGGGGTAACTAACAAAAATCTTTTGCCAGTACCAAAACTAAGAAGGAAAGCTAACTGAAGGAATTAAAATGTGTTAAGATTCCCTGTGCTTTGTAGACATTATTAATAAAATTCTTCCAACAACCTGTAAATGTTATCCCCTTTTTATACTGAAAAGGTTGAATTTGCCAAGAAGCACATAGTTCAGTAAGCAGATATGTAGAACTGATTGAGAAATTTGTCTTTTCTCCAGAGGTGTTGTGTCATCTTAGTTTTGAGGCTATTCCCACTTCAACTGTCCTGAAAAGTATTCTGAAAAGTCAGTTCTTCGGTAAACACTGAATCCACTAACTCTGAAGTCTTCGGTTTGTGCAAGCAACCTCATGGAGAGGTGTTGTGAGCATGGACCCTGCCTGGGCTGGATCTGGCTCTGCCATTTATTAGCTCTGTAACCTTGGGCAGGTTAATTAATCTTTGAATTACAGTTTCTTTCTATAGGAAAAAGGGATGATGATAATAACAGTACCTATTTCACAGGAGGTTAAAAAGATTAAACAGTTCTATAAATTAGCAAGCCTGGTTCTTGCAAAGTGAAGCAAACAACTATCTCCAGAGTCTACTTTGTCCTCGTCACTTTGCAAAAGCCTCGGGAAATAATGATAAACAAGATGGACAGCAAGACTTATATTCAGGTCGGGCATGCTGGTGCACACCTGTAATCCCAGCACTCAGGAGGCTGAGCCAGGAGGATAACTGTGAGTTTGAGGCCAGCCTGAGCTACATAGTAAGTCTAGGCCATTCTGAACTATATAGCAAGACCCTGTGTTAAAAAAGAAGAGACATTCAGTTGAGGAGGTAGGTTATTTCTGGCCCTTTGTAATTATAAAAGTGTACATTAAAGTTAGAATCACCGTCCGTGGCCATTATGTTGTGAGGACTTATTGCTGCTTCTGAAAGCAGCTGCTAAAGCTTTGTGTGCACTGGAGCTGAAAGACAGTTGTTAGGTCTCTAGAAGGCTCTACCATATTTAGAATTGTACTGTCCATTTTGGCAACCGTTATCCACATGAGGCTGTTAAAATTCTATTTTTAATTACAATTAAGTATAAATAAGAATTCAGTTTTTCAGTCACCTTAGGTGTATTTCTAGTGTGAATATCCAGATATGGCTAGGTAGAGCATTTCTGTCACCACAGAAATCTCTGTTGGACAGTGGTAACCAAAAGGAAAGGACCCATAACAGACATCATAGGCGTGGCCTGTGCCTGCAATCCCAGCTACTCTGGGGGCTGACGCGGGAGGGTTGGAAGTTTGAGCCCAGTCCGGTCTACTTAATGACTTGGCAAGACCCTGTCTCAAAATAAAAACGACCGGAGTTGTAGCTGGGTTCAGTCCCTACTGTCACACCAACACACACACAAATTAAGTTCTTAAGCTGGGCACAGTGGCATGCGCCTGTTATCCCAGCACGCAGGAGGCTGGGGCAGGATTGCCACAAGACTGAGGCCAGTCTGGACTGCATAGTGAGTTCAAGGCCCGCTTGAACTACAAGCGAGAGCCTGTCTCAAAAAAAAATTCTTAAATTAGTCTATATTTCTAACATAAATTCTCCAATTCTTTGAGAATTGGGGCATGTGGGAAAATATCGTGACCCTTAAAGGAATGTTCACTTGTAAATTTTTTTGGTTTATGGTATTCACTGATAGGAAGACAGATTTTCTTCAGACAACTACATATTACTGTTTGGTCCTACTGCTGCTCTGATGGTGCACTGCTCTTTCCAAAGCACCACTCTGATTTTGTCATTGTATTGCTTAGAAAATAAGATATAAACTCTTAGTCTTAACGTTCCAGGCCTCCCATGACCTGGGTTCTGCTGGTTTTTCCATGTACATTAGTAGTGTTTACCATGCACAGCCAGTGCTTTACCAACATGGCGTCTTTGCTTTTTCAGTCTCAAATTCAAATCTGGCCCAGATTGCATAGCTTGTCTCAATTGATTTTTGGTTGTTTTGTTTTTTGAAAGAGGGTATCACTGTGTAGTCCAGGTTGACTTTGAACTCACTGTGTAGCCCAGGCTGACCTCAAACTCCATGCCCAGTTTATGGTTTGTCTCAATCCCACCTTTACTAAATGAGTTCTCCTGACTAGCTTGGTGGAGTGGTCTTTGCTCCTCAACTTGGACTTTTTGGTAAGCTGTCTTTTTCAGGCTGCCTTGGAAGTCTCAGTCTTCCGAATGTTGGGACTACTGGCTTATTTTTATTTTCTGGTGCTCAGGATGATCAAAGGGCCTGGAGCATATTAAGCATGTGTTGTACCACTGAGCTCTACTCTTAACCGTAAGGTTGTTTTTTTGTTTTTTGGATTTTTTTGAGACAGACTGTTGTTTTTTAGTTCAGGCTTTCCTAGACTACCTATGTATCCCAGCCTGGCCTTAAACTCAAAGCAGTCCCACCTCAGCTTCCCAGGTGCTGGGATTATAGGCATCTGCCACCATGTCTGGCTGATACAGTATCAGATGATAATAGATAACACTGAGTGTCACCGTATGCATTGTCTCTTTAATTCTGTCAAAGTCCTTCTTAGGGTTGGACATTCATTTTTAGACGTGGAAGCTAAAGTTTAGAATGCTTCAGACTTTGCATTGATTTACAGTTTTACTGAGTGGTAGAACTGACATTCAAATGGAGCCAGCCCTTCATGCCAGACCCACAGATACCTTGTTAACTCAGACCCTGAGACATTCTTAGTGTGTATCTTTGACACTAACAAACCTTGTGTATTACGTTTGTTTAAAGTGAACCTTATTTATGTGAAACCTATTATATTAAAAGTCGGACTGAAATTCAAGTGGAAATAACTTATTTTTATTCCAAAAGTCTCCTTTTCCCTACAGTTGATGGTGCAGAGTGATTTTGCTTTTTTAAACTAGTATATTCAGTTAGTTTTTATTTGCTCCTTTACACAACAGGACATCTGGAGGACCTGTTGATACGGGCCCAGAGTATCAGCAAGATCTGGAGAGAGAGCTTTATAAGCTTAAGCAAATGTATGGTAAAGCAGACATGAACACATTCCCTACCTTCAAATTTGAAGGTAAGTTTCTGGCCACAGATTGATTCTTATAGGGAACTGTTTCAAATGGAGAGTACTTATACTTTTCTAATTATTTAGAAGATTAAATGACAATTGCACATAAAATTTATTAGGACCACTATATATAGAAGCTATCAGATGTTTATTATTAGTATAAGACATTACATAACGTGCATGTTGAGTGGCAAAGTTCTGAAGTCTAAATGCTTGACCTTGAATCACGACAGTATTACTTACTAGCTATGTAATCTTCAGCTGGCATTTGGGAGGAGTTATAGTTTCTCCTTCATATAATAATTGTAGTTAAAAGATATGTTAGATATTAAGTCAGTAGAGCCTTATTCATAGAAAGTGTTACGTGTTTAGCTATTGTATTTCTGAGTAGATGGTTAGAAACAAATGTTCACCACAAAATAATTCAGAAGATCCAGGAGTTAAATCTCCGTTCTAGATAATCCATTTTATTGCTGTATGGCTAAGCTTGACTGGAGCTTTTTTCCCTCTTAGATCCCACATTTGAAGTCATCGACAAACCTCAGGCTTGAAGAAATAATGTAAAATTAACCTGGTAGTTTGTCATGGATTTGTTGTATAACCAATAAGTATCAGAATAAACAAAAAGTTCACAACTATCCAATGTTCTTTTAATTTTGATTTCAAATAAATTATTTGATGATGCTGAACATATACATTGAGTGTCTTGACTTCTGTTTTAGGGTTGTTTTTAAATCCTTTCCTTCCATTATAATGAAGCAAACAGAGACACTGAATACATCGGGTACAGCTTGCTCACAGCCTTACCAGACTCTTCAGTGTGCAGCACATCCCGTTGCAGTAGTGCAAACTTACTGCTCATGGTGAGCCCCCATTGTTTGAGGGTGTGTTTACTGTGGAGGGATGTTACACCCTTTCCCAGAACATGAACCTACAATTTATTTTTATTTACTTATTAAAAAATTTTTTTTTGTTTTTCATTTTTGAAATGGGCTCTTTATGTAATCCAGGCTGGCCTTGAACTTGCGATACTCCTGCCTCAGCTTCCCAAGTGCTGGAAGAAATTGTAAATTTTTTGTCATCGCTTTCTCAGAAGCTCAAGTGTAGTTTTAGAGTTATCTGGGTTGAAGAAAAGTTTGGGGATAATGAGGGAGGAAGGCTCTATAAAGGCACTTCATTTTAAAAGATTAGCCTCAGGGCTGAGGGTGTAGTTTAAAACAGGTCTCTCCCTCCCTCTCCTCCTTCTCTTCTTCATTTCTCTCTCTCTTCTGTCCGTCTCCTGCTCTCTTGCTCTCTTTGGCAGCATGTGAAAAGTTGGCAGGCCTCCAGACTGAGATGAGAGTCTAATCTTAAGCAGCTAAAGAGCTAGCCTTGTATCTACAGATGGTAAGGGTGCAGTTTCCTGGGTTTTATTGAATAACAATCTTCCTCTGCACTATTAAATGGAGCTAAAAAGTTTAACCACTTCAGCTATTTTTATTAATGTAGATTTTAATCAAACAAAGCCAGCTGTTGAAGTTCTTTGCAAAGTTATATTGAAAACAATCATTCCAGATTTAGTTAGATTAAAATCCAACTAAAAACAAATTGAATCTGTTCGTTACAAACAGCAACAATATTGAAACAAAACAAAACTTGTTCTTGAGCCTTAATCTCTATACAACACAATTTCACTGCAGGAAAATGAAATGAAAATGTTCAAAGAATTACAATGGGATTTTACCAACTGTTAGTATTCACATGTTTCAAATAAAAAAAAAAAAAAGAGCAAAAGGAACCACAAGTCTGGACACTGGGGACCCACAGATAGATGCACTTTTAATAATTAGAACATTAGCGTTCATACTGTGTCTTGTGTAGAAGCATTCTTTACACAATTATTTTTTCTTCGGTGTATACAGTGTTTTTAAGATGCTGTATAATACATAGTTGGCACAAAAACAGTATTAGATGTTTACACTGCATAAAATAAATCCTCTAGACTTTGATGTCTTAAGAAGAAGCTATTAGTAAAATTAAGGCACCACATAATTTTTCTCTAGAAGTACGGATTCCTGTAATTTAAATTGAAGCAGTTGATCATGTGTGATTTATGTATGCCAGAAGAGGCATCCTTGAGAGTCATACTCATTCCCTTGGCACTTGGCAAAGCAAGAAGACATTCCTTAAAGCAAAATCTGTCAGTTAAAACGTCGGCAACATTTAGCCAGATTTTTACAAAAGCTTATAGATAGGGTTTTCTTGGAGACAGAATCTTGCTACGTAGTTTAGGCTGACCTTGAATTCACTGTGTAGACTAAGCTCGCCTCACAATCGAAGTGATCCTCCTTCCTCAGCCTCCTGGGTGCTGAGATTACAGGCATGGGCCGCCACACCCAGCTGGATAGGTGTTTTTTTGTCTTTTGCCACCAGGGGTTAAACTGAGCTAAATCCTGACTGCCTGTTTTTATAAATAAAGTTTTATTGGAAAATGGACATGTACTTGTGCTTTCTTGTTCTCTATGGCTGCTTTTGTAATGGCAGGCTCAAGTAGTTACAGGAACTATATGTCTTAAAATACCCAGTATCGCCCTTTACAGAAAGTGCCTGGCAACCCTTGACTAATACAGTGATAATTGGACTTTGGAGATGCAGCCGTGTTACACAGGCCAGACTTATGGGCGGAGTCTTGTGAGAAGCAGTGAATGCCACACACAAGGCAAAGGGGGCCGGGCTGACAACAGGCGTCTTCCCAGGGCCCTGGTGCCCAGGCACTCATTAGACGTTTAGTTCCAGGAATCCTGGACATCTGCTTTGTACTGGATAAAAGCAGATTCCTTTGAAAGCAAATTAACATTTTCAGTGTTGTCAAAGGTAGTAAGTGATCTTTACATCCAGATTTGCCTCGAACAGGGTGTACCTGAGGTGTTTTGTTTTTAATGCGGATTGAACAGTCAAAATCAATTCTGAAAGATAATGCTTTTAAAACATAGCCTTATTATTATGGCTGTTATTATTAAACGAATCATTGGAATTTATTGTAGCATTAGCCAGAGGCCTCCTTATTCAGTTCAGAAAACACATGCCAGACCCGTTTTGTTTCCTTTTTAAATTTCAGGCATGGTTTCTCATGTGCCTCCTTTGTGTCAAGCAGGGTGCTGGATGTAGGGAATTGCACGGTGAGCTCGTTCATTCGTATTTCTCCCCTCCATATTCCTTGCCATAAGAAGGACTGGCAGCCCCCTGACGATAACCAAGGACTCAGGCCAGCCCAGAATTTCATTGACTGGCTTTGAAGGACAGAGAACTGTGAAGTCAAAGCACTCAGGCAGAGAAAGGTATCTGCAGAAGTGGGCAGGCTCTAGGGGCAAGTTCTGATGTCGAGCTCCCAGACCCTCTTCAGAGAGGTCCTGGGGAGAGAGGTGAGAAAGCCGCACGGGCTTGTGTCTGCGTCTCAAAAGTGTGTCATCCATGAGACAGTAGGTGTGTGTGAGCTCTAATCATCAGCTATTTCTCTTGTTCTTGGTTCTCAGAAATAAAAGTAAGAGGAGAGTGCAAATCCAGCCCCACTGCCTCCCTTCTGTGGATACTTAGTGATAAATGAGCAGTAGCCTAAGGATTATACTGGGAAGACAGGAAGATTCTGGTAGAAATGAGACAGAGGTTTCCTTCTGCATGTCTGTGTTTTCTGAACCCTCCTAAAGCAGACTCTTGCACAGAGGATCTGTTCAGTTCATAATTTGTGGATTAACTTCACAATCAGTATGCAACAGTGCTTTCTCCGGAAGTTAGGTTATTTGTTAATATTTCGCAAATCCCGTATTACTACAGAATATTTCGGTTACTTTTTTTTTAGTCCAGACACAAGAAGCCACATGGTATTTTAGGTGATGACAGAACTGTTAATTTCCGGTGAGTTAAGTAAAGGTCATAAAAATTACAGTAAAATACCAATTTCATTTCCTCATGTACAGCTTCTTCCCAAATGTAAAACAATAGAGTTTTATAATACTTTAATAACTTGGGTAATAACCGTAGTTTTGGTGTATCTTGAAAGTAGATTTCTTAAATTATAAAGGATTTTGTGTGCTTGAAATCCTAAGTAAAGAAAGAAAAAAATAAGTTGAAAAAACAAGTTATGAATTCATATTTAAAGAAATAATGTTAAGTCATATCAAAATATATCCACTAGAAAAATCTTAGAGGTACAAACAATTACATATTTAATTAAATCTATTTTATTGGGAGCTAAATGGGTAAACACTGGAAGACATGATACTTGAAATCAAGAGTAAAAGGGCCGATGGGAAATGAGCAAGGGAAATGTGTTTGTTAGGGATGTGCTGGTGGCATCAAGTGAGTAAAGGCAAGGGCTGGCCTGTGCACATCCCACACAAAGGGGGGGGGGCTCAAAGTTGTCAGGGCAACGAGCTCTGCTGTAGGGCAAAACAACTGAAGGAGAGGGCAGCTCTGAGTTCGTGAGTCAACTGAGAGGAACACAGAAAAAGGCCTTTTCTGCTTCTTAGACGCAAAGTGCCTCTTACTATTTGGTGGGTGGGATTATTTTATTCCACGCTCAAGAATTTCTTTCTGTGAACTATTAGAACAAATATGACTTACAGTAACACTTCGTTTGTTCCCTAACTAAAGAACAGGATGCTCTCAGCTACGAAATTTGGTGGCTTTTGGGACAGATTGGTTTTAAAAACCAAAAGTTTACAGAAAAGACTGGAGCAGTGAATGTCCGATAACTACTAGTTCATTAGAAAAATACTGATGTCCACTGATGTACCGTGCTCTACTGAAGGGAAATCTGAGACTCTCTGCTCCAAAGTACTAAGTACTAAGAAATTGTAAAGTCATAAGGAATTGTAAAGTACTAAGGAAACAACTTCATTTCTCAAGAAAGGACTTAGGCCTCTAAAGACACTGGAAACTTTTCTCATCCTATTCCTAAAAAAATAATTCAGATTCTGTATTATCTCTAATGTTTTACCAAAGAATTATTTTCTTATTCTCTTTAATGGTTTGGGCAATCTTTCATTCTTACATCTGGTAATCTGAGCAATGTAGTTGAGGATAGTGATATATAATGTAACAACCACTGTTGATTCATATTATTTTGTCTTGAGACCCTGTATCGCTTTGAATGTTCTTGCTTTGATTTGTTTATGTTTGTGATACTGGTATGCTGCTACTGTTCTATTTCTTTGTTTGTTTGTTTCTCATTTACTACTCTTTAAAATAAAAAATTCAGAAGGTTGAGTATCCGACAAAAGAACTACAAAATCTAAGCAATGAAGTTATTTATAACTATAAATACTGTATTTACAAGTATAAACGTTCAAATATCTAAATTATTTTATCTAAACCATCTGAGTTACATGACTTCCTTTTGAAGCATTTCTGAAGTCTTTTGAGCAATAGCGCAGGATATTTCATATTCTTGAACTTTCCAAGTGCTTTAAATAATCAAAGGCAGGCCCTAGAATCACAGCTGCTGGGAGCAGTGTACTCTGCTTGCCAGAAGCAAGGTGTCCAGGTTCCAGTTCCGCCATTGTTATCCTGTGAGAATTTGTGACTTAATTTCCTCATCTATCAAATGGAGCTAAAAGTCCAGTCCCCGTGATATTAAAGAGGTAGACTAGTAATAGAATATTCCATGAGAGAAAGTAATGGTATAAAGATCACTCCCTGTAATTGTGCTACAGATTCCAGGTGTAGTACCTTTATCATGCCATCCCAGGCAGGCGAGGGAAGCTAACATTTAAATCCTTTGAAATTAATCCAAAGTTTGTTAAAAGTGAAACTGAACAACTTCCGTATAATTGTGTCATTGCCCTGCCTTACTTCCTAAACACATCCACTCTGTAAACCTGCTCCAGCCATACTCACGTTCTCACTCACTGTGGTCACGTTAGATGCAGCGCTCCCTTTCCTGTTTGTGGGATAAAAAAGACAATATTTACCCAAGGGTCACCTCCGAGTCTGGAACACATACTTTCATTTAGGGTATTCTATATCTCAGCTGGAAGATGTACATTATTCTGTATACATCTGTAGGTCAGGTTGGCCTTGAATTCACAGTGATGCTCCTGCCTCAGCTTTTTGAGTTCTGGCACTACGGGTGTGCACCACCACGCCCGGCAACTTTAAACATTTTGAAAGTTTAATTATAATTTCAAAGTTCAGTTTGGTCTGGGGAAAGTTTCACGTGGTAACTAGGATTCCAGTTGAACAGATTTTGAAGGCTGCAGATTTAAGAAAGGGAGGAAAGATGTCAATAAAGACAGTCCTTTCCAGATTACTACCTAGTTTGACAAAGGCATTAGTGGATGGAAGCGTAAGCCCTTACCTCTTCTGTAAGATGCTACCTTTCCTCTGCTCAGACCCCTCCAGTTAGTTAGCATGTTACTCCATAAAAGTGGGAGTCTCTCAGTTGCCTGGGGCCTAAGGGTGGGATGGGGTGAGGTGGTGGCTACACATCTGGGCTGCCCTGCTCTTGTGAATGCATCTCTTTAGCTGCTGTTAGTCTTCATAACTGAGACTTCCTCCTGGCTCTGTGCTGGGATATTAGGAGACTGGGAGACCAGTGTTGAGCCAGGCATGGAGGAACAGGGAATCCATGACAGCTGTCTTCAGAGGATTTTGATGACAAAGGATCTGAAGCCATGGCGGCTGGGGGTAGAGGCGAATGCCCTTAGGCCCACGGCTTGGTCTGCCGTGTCCCTTTGCACAGCAAGGACTGGCTTACGTCAGTGCCCATAAACTCGGGCTTTGGGGAACCCACCCGTATCTCATGCTGCACTGACTCCCACATTTCCCCACACTCCAGATGCATATACTCTCGGTCACTTGCTGATTATCCCTACTTAGAAGTCTAATAAGCTTACTGTGAAAATTCCAAACACTGCAGACCTCGCCACCCACGCCCTTCACCGCTCCCAAGCCTGCTCCTCCTGAAATCTACGACTCTGTAAATGGAATTCTAGTTGGAGTCCATCTCTCTCAGAACCTTAGTTCCACCTTCCATTTCTTGCTTCTTCTCCCAGCACATAACCAGCAGGTCAGCAAACTGTTAGAACTATGTCGGAATCCCCCCGCTCCTCACCCTCTCCAGGATACACTTCTGCACCAGCCACCGTGTTCGCTTGCCTCAATTCTTGCAGCAGTTTCCTAACTGGTCTGGCTGCTTTGCATCTCATCAGGTACTCTTACCAGAGCAGACCTCCTGAGCTTTGAAGAATGAAGATGCACCCCTCCACTTAGAGCCCTCCAGCGACTTCCCATTTAGCTCAGAACCAAACCCAGACTCTGCCAAACTGCCCAGCAGAGCCTGCGTATAATCCAGTCCCTGCAACTTTTGTGCACTCATCGCTTTCTTTCTGGCACTCCATTCCAGCTGCACTGGTGTCCTTTCTGTCCCTCGGACTTTCTAGGCATCCTGGCCCTGAGCGAATTCCATGTGTTCTCTGCCCTCTGCACACTCTTCTCGTAGCTGTCTGCACGGCTCGCTTCTTTATTTCCTTGAGGTCCTTCTCAGTGAAGCCCTTCTCCAGCCATCATCTCCACTCCAACAGTTTGTGTTTTCCCTCTCTTACTTGCTTTGTTTTTTTCCATAGCACCCCCTCCTTTCCTATCCCCTTTTCCTCCCCACCTCTGTCTCTCTATCTCTGTCTCTCTGTCTGTCTCTCTGTCTCTCTCTCTTTCTCTCTAGGGGAGGGTCTGTGTTGCCCAGGTTGGCCTTGAACTTGAAATCCTCCTGCCTCAGCCTCCTGAGTAGCTGGTTTCCATAGTACTTATCACAATCTGACATCTCTATAGTATACACATTTGTGTACTTTCTGACTTTCTTGACTTGACCGTAACTTGTACAAAGTAGCATTATATGAGGTTTTGTATTTTTTTGGCCTGTTGTGTTCACTGCTACATTACTAATCCCTACAATGGTGTTGGGCACAAAGTCATTATTCACTTAAATGTAAAAAAATGACTAAAATTTTATCCAAATTTTAAAGTTTATATAAATACAGTAAATGCATATTTTTTAAAGCAGAACTATGGAAAGGCCTACAAAGTAAAATGAGGACCATGTGTCCTCTCTAGTCAATCATTGTTTACAGACAAATGTGTATACTGTAGAGATGTCAGATTGTGATAAGTACTATGGAAACCAGCTACTCAGGAGGCTGAGGCAGGAGGATTTCAAGTAGGCATGAGCATGAGGTAGGATGTATTTCATGATGAACTGAATAACTTCCCACAGGATTAAATCTACATTAAAATCTGATGTCCTACTTTTGACATCAAATGGACAGCTATCAGAATATTAGTTGATATGATAAAAAAGGCATGCATGTTAATAAATTATACTTACTGGTAGGAAGTTTCTTCTACAAAAGAAAAAGTACATATCATTATTGCAAGAATTAATATGTCGTGACAGATTCATTTAAAAGTGAATTTTGGCTTAATTTCTTTTTAACCTTCAGCGTTACATGCTGATATTGGTACCTTCTAAATGAAGAGCTGGCAAATGTTTTCTATAAAAAGCCACACAGTAAATATTTTTGGTGTTGTGGGCCCAGAGGCAAAATCAAGGATACTACATAAGTACTTACAGAACTAGAGAGAACAAAATTTATACAATTTTATTGATAAAATTAAAATATAAGAATAATCAAATCCTTATACTACAAGCCTACTAACTAGAAGAATGGAATACTTTTTGGGGAGCTAACACTTCTTTTAATTGGGGTTCAAAGTTAGTATTACCCATCATCAAATAGCAACAAGTTCTCATCTGTACAAACCATTCTTAGCTTACGAACCATATAAAATCAGGTAGTAGACTGGATTTGGGCCATAGATCATTGTTCGCCAACCCCTGTCCCAAACCATAGTTCAAACATATGGTTCTCTTGGATAGATTTTTCTGCCAGATGAAAATGAGAGCAGTATTCTTAGTAAATTGCTAGTATCCGATGAGTCAGCTCTTTAATTCAGTATTTTAAGAAGAATGTGTTTACTTTTCATTAAAAATAGACAGGTATTCTCTGCAACTATAAATAACAATGACAAAAATATTGGAGTATCTTATTTGTCTGTACTTTCACTGAAGACCAGCAGGGGGACACAGCTAGATTCAATTCGTGAAATTAACGTGATATTGGACTAAATACGGCACTATATACAGGTGATGGCGAACTTTGTAGAGGTTTCAATGACAACAAACAGCCAGCTCTGGCACATGTGCTGTAGGTTCGCCACCACTGCCAGAACAATACTATTAATTCACAGAACACTTATTCTTAATTATAGGGAATCTCCTTGAATTTATGTTCATGGAAATATTTTATGATGTAAAATCTACCTATAGATATTATCAGAAACTCCTTTTAAATTTGTTTTATTTTGTTATTTTTTAAGCCTAAATTCTAAAATTAATACCCATTATAAAACAATGGATTTTAATATTTTTATGCTATAAACGTATTCATTGCTCCATTTAAAAATTCAGCTTTATACATTATTGCCAGTGGACTTAATGGAGTTCTTTGAACTGTCAAGATATTTAACAACTGGAAATGAAAAAATACATTAAAAGGATGAAACATTTTAAAATTTCAATTTTAAAAACTGGAAATGAAAAAATACATTAAAAGGATGAAACATTTTAAAATTTCAACATTTACATCAAACCTATTGCATCATAAAATGGAGTTTGAAGTTACAAAAGGCCTAAACTTCAGTAATTAAAAACTTTGTTCAGAAGTATTTCTAATAAAATTATTTATTTATTTATTTATACTGGGGGTTGAATCCAGTGCATTTGCACTGAGCTCCATCTCAGCCCTTCTTAATTTTTATAATTTAATTTAATTTTTAAAAATGTACTTTTAAGGTTTCTTTTCTTTTTTAAATTAATTACATTTATTGGAACATTTTAGGTATACATAATGATCAAATTCGTCATAGGGAATTTGTACCTGTACATGACTTTACTTTTATTTTTGAGACAGGGTCTTTCTGAGGCACCAGGATGCCCAAGCTGATCTCTAGCTTTTGATCCTTCTGCCTTAGAACCCCAGAGCACTGAAATTACAGACCTGCACTACCATGCCTGCTGTTTCTGGTTTTGATTGAACAGTTCTAGTTATGCTAAATTTGACATTCATTGTTCCACTCTTCACTAATAAAACAGTTCACTGGTGGATTTCAATAAAATTGCTTGTAAAACTAGAAAGCAATATATATCCAGATATAAAATTCCCGGGTTGGAGATGTAGCTCAAAGGTAGATCCCTTGCCCTGAGTGCAAGGACCTGGATTTGATCCCAGCACCTCCAAAAAAAGGAAAGAAAGAAGGGAAGGGATGGAGGAAGAGAGGGAACAGGGGGGAGGGAGGGTATATACAATCCCTAACTTTAAAGTATTATATATATATATATATATGTAATTACACTATAAGTATCCATCTACATTGACTATCTGCCTTTCACATATTTTATAGTGTTGCTTGGAATTCTGCAACAAAGACAGCTTTTTTTCCTCTATGGCTACCTAGGTACTTTATAACCTACTTGCATGTTATCTGGGACATTATCCATAGCAGAAAAATCAATGAAAACTGCAATCCAGAGTTTGTTAGAAGCTCTTAGGAGAAACAATGTCTCACAAGAAAACTCTATATGTACAGGAAATCAGGTATCGAAGAAAGGTGAAATTCACTTACTTGAGAAGTAGCCTTTTCTCTGAGCATAGCACACACCGAGGCCACACGCACAAATCACTAAGACCACAGCTACTACAGCAGCTATGATGCCACTTATGCTGAGATCATCTGTAATGTGAGATAATTCAGGCATAAATTCACATCTAATACGTGGATAGATGTGGAATTAAATAGAAATTGCTCAAAAGGGCTCCCCTTTGTAACTTGCTAAAAGTATAGTTTCAAGCTTTTTTTTTTTTTTTTGGTTTTGGTTTTTCTCCGGTACCAGGAACCGAACTCACGACCTTGCGCTTGCCAGGCAGGCGCTTTGCCGCTGAGCTAAATCCCTAGCCCCTAGTTTCAAGCTTTTGCAGCCTGTTCAACCAACTTAATTCCAAGACATGGTGTAAAACTGATTGAAAATATTAACAGAACTAAGTTGAACAAGAATCTTAGAGTTTAAAAATCTTTGTGAGAGTCTTATATTTTACGAAATTCTGTGATCCAGAAATAAAGTGTATAGTATTCTCTTGCATTCATTTGAGGATGTAATAATTCACAGAATTAAATATAGGTTGGAAGAAATCTTTGAAGTTCAGTAAGTCCAAGTATTCTATCATGTTTCCTCCATCCAAAATTTTACTTAAAATTCTTCTACATTATTATCTGTATCAATTTCATAAATACTAGGAATGGCCTCAAAGAAAGAATACGCCACTGTTATTCCATAAAACTAAATGTCAGAAGCACCCACCTTCTTGAATATATATGGGGTGTGTGTGTGTGTGTGATATACAATCTATATATAATCACTAAACTACTATCCCACTGAATTTTAAATGAGTTTCAGTTAATTAAACAAGCTTTTTACTGTTGCTATTAAGTCACTTTTCCTTTAACCTAATATAACTAGATTTTTTGGACCCAAGTTTGGAATGACTATCACATTAGCAACTTACAAGATCATTTTCCTGGATTGGTTCTATTGCTCAATAATTAGATTATGAATTTAGCAGGCTTACTATTTATGCAAATTGAGAACTGTATGAAAGACACCTTCATTCAAGTCATTAATAAAATGAGCAACATGACTTCACTAGGGAAAGAACTACGTAACTAGGGACCTCCATTCATGACACAACCTGTTAGCATGCTTGACTGTGTGATTCATCTATGTGTAATTAAATCTAAACATCCGGGTTACATATCTGCACCTTGGCCACAGAGATTTCAAGAACTATACTCTATTTTCACTTACATACTTATGTATTTATTACAGGAGCAATTCCTCAAAGGGTTCCCCCTCCCCTGTGGTGCTAGGGATTGAACCCTCAGCCTTTTGAACTGTACCCCTAGCCTTGGGTTCTATGTATGTGTGTGTATATTTTCTAGGGTATGTAACACCTTATGGGTGTAGGCAAGCACTGAGCTACATTCCTAGCCCTTCTTACAAAAAATTTTTAAAATGATCTTATTTTGAGATAGGTTTTAACTAAATTACCCAGGTTAACCTCAAACTTTTGGTCCTCCTGCCTCAGGCAGAGTAGTTGGGACTGCAGGCATATACCACCATGGCTATTTTTGAAAGCAAGTATTAATTAATAATGATTAGATAACTGGGAGAAAATATTAGCATTTTTCTCAACAGTAACTATAGTCATTTTAAAGTGTATGTTTTGAGAAAGAATTTTTCTTTCTTTTCTTTTTCTTTTTCTTTTTCTTTTTTTTTTTTTTTTTCTGTGAAACTGAGGATTGAATCCAAGGAGCACTGTGTTACATCCCTGGCTCATTTTTTATTTTTTATCTTGAGAACAGGTTTTACTTAGTTGCTCAGGCTAGCCTTGAGCTTGCAATGATTCTCCTCCTCCACCTCCTGAGTACCTTGGATTACAGCCATGCACCACCATATTCAGCTTTTTGGGAAAGACTTCTTTAAAAAGATTGTTAAAGTAAGTGTGCTTATTATAGAAAGTTCTGGCCTTACAATTCTCCCCTAGTGCTAAGTATGTTATTAATTTTCTCAGATACCTCTGAAAAATTCAGTGATTCTTTTTTTAACAAAAGAAAATAGGATTAATTTTATGAACGGCTGAGTAATTAGACTAGTGTAAAAAACATGAATGAATGAATGAATGATTCCTTAGTATAAAACCAATTCATATTGGCTTGGACATTGAAACTGAGAAGCCAATGAGATTTTGCTATTTACTTGGACAAAAAAAAAAGAGTAGAGATGCCAAAATCCCCAAAGTAATCACACGCTAAGGTAAAATTAAATCAGTAACTAAATGAAAACTCCTGAGAACCAAACTGTGCCTACTATTTTCTTTGTAGCAGTCAACAAACGACATGTACATTGTGTTTAATCTAAGGGTTATCGCTTGACCAAAAATGCTGTCCTATAGTTGGCAATGAATTTGACATCTGTGAAGGAATTTCCCAAAGCCATGTTCTAACAAGCAACTGTCTTGACCTGTATTGACCTGTGTTGACCTGTATTGACCTGTACTGACCTGTAAGCCTAAGTCATGGAATAAAAGTTGTTACCTTCTTTGACGGAATGGAAGATAGAATAGAGGGAAGTTGTGTGGATCCACAACTTCCAACAACTTCTGTGAGAAGTCAAGCGAGTCATACAACCAACCACATCATGCCTCAGTGAAGAGAATAATAAATATGAAAATATTCTGTATTCTTTGAATACAAATTTAAAAGGAAGGCTGCTATAAAAGGAAGGTACTAACTGAAAGCAAAGGAACCAGACTGCTAAAAGAGTAGACAGGAATGGTGTCTGTGGGATTCTCAAAATAAAGCAGCCTGAAAATCCACAAATCCATACTTCATTTTGTATTTTTAAAAAGAGACTAACTTTTGGATGGTTAACAGATTCTAGTTTCGGTTTCAAGTTATCAGTGATAATTCACAAAGAATAAGAATTCGTGAATTTGTATTTGTTTCACAAGATGTAAATTTCCAACCAAGGCCATGAAACGCCCAGGTTCAATGGATGAATGAATGAACATAAAACTAATTTTAACTCTTAAGCTAACTAATACTTAGGAAAGGTAGATGCATGGAAATTATGTTCAAAGTAAAGTGCCCTCACTAAGGAAACAAACTTACAGAGTTTATCTGGTGTATATTTATTTATTGTGTACTAGGAAAAAAAGACATATACCTAAACTATGATTTCACAGATAGATATTTCTTAAGATGAAACTAAAGCCAGCATTTAAACTAAACAGAACAATTAAAATGGAAGGGTAAATAAATAGAAAATACTGCAGTGCTATAAGGTTATGATGAAAACCATGAAGATAGTGTGTAAATAAATGAAGTTAGGAAAACATTTCATTAATGCATAAATGTTCAGACATGTGCCAATAAATTTTTAAAATTATTATGTATAACTACCATATTTTCATTATTCATTCATTGATGGGCATATACGCTGCTTCCAAGATTTAGCTGTTACATGTTGTGCTGCTGCAAACATAGGTATGTATACATCATTCCAAAGCAGTACTGCGAGGGATATTTTTGTTTTGTTTCAATTTTGGTTTCTTGCTGTGAGGAATAAGTTTACTCAATTCACTGAAGGTCAATTTGACACAAAAGGAAACTCCAAAGCATAACCTAAGCAATTATAAAAATATTCTGAGATCACAAGATCCTATACTACATGATTTATTATTTTTTAAAAATTAATTTTTATTAGTCCATGTCTGCAGGACATGCTGAGTACATTCATTGCAGGTACACATATGTAAGACATCTTAATCTTTTTTTCCCCTTCCCCTCCACCCATCCTTTAAAAAAATTTTTTTGTCAGCATCAGATTCACTTATTTATGAGTCCTTATCAAGTTAATTACCACAAATACAGATTACTATAAAATTAACAGGCCAAAAGCATATAAAACATATAAGACAGTCATACTAAATCAAGGTACACTTTTAGATACATGGGCCATGCTTGCTTACAATAACTTTTTTCTCTCTTTTTTTTCCTACTGTCTGTCTTTTATTTTGCACTTTGTATACTGGGTTTCCCATATAAGAGAAAGCATGTGGAATTTAAGCTTGTGTGTCCAAGTTACTTTCATCCATTTTCCTACAAATGACCTGAGTTTATCTTTTTTTTTTTTTTTTTTTTTGTCGGGAATCAAGTATTCCAGGCTGGCCTTGAACTCACTATGTAATTTAGGCTGGCCTTGAAGTCACTGTGATCCTCCTACCTCAGCCTCTTGAGCTCTGGGATTACAGGCATGCATTACCACACCTCGCTTCAAGTTTATCCTTCTTTATGGCACAGTAGTACTCCATTATGTATAACTACCATATTTTCATTATTCATTCATTGATGGGCATATAGGCTGCTTCCAAGATTCAACTGTTATAAATTGTCCTGCTGCAAACATAGGTATGCATACATCACTATCATACAGTGTCTTTAACCTGTTTGGAAAAATACCTAGAAGTGGCATAGCTGAGTCCAATAGAATTTCCACTGTGCTTTTTTGAGAATCCCCACACTGACTTTCATAGTGGTTGTACCAGTTTACATTCCCACCAACAGCGAAAAAGGTCTCTCTGCATCCCACAACCTCCAGCAATTGTTATTGCTTGATTTCTTGTTGGTAGCAATTCTTTGTGGAAATGGAATCTCACTGTTGTTTTAAGTTGCATTTCTTGAATGGCCAGTGATGTTGAACATTTTTTCATGTGTTCATTGGCCATTTATATTTTTTCTTCTGAGAAATGTCTATTCATGTAAGATGCCTTGTTTAATAGGGTCTTTAAATTTGGGGGATCTAATTTTTTTGAACTGTTTCTGTGTTTTAGATACTAGTGTTTGTCTGAAGACTAGCTGGCAAAGCTCTTTCCTATTCTGTAGGCAGTCTTTTCATTCTGTTGGTGGTTTCCTTTGCTATACAAAAGCTTTTTAATTGATGTGATCCTATCTGTTGACTCTTGGTATTACTTTTTTGTGCAATGGAGTTCTGTTGAGAAAGTCTTTGTCTTTGCTTATGTCTTCAAGAGTTTTACTAATTTTGGCCAGACATGGTGGTACACACTTGTAACCCCAGCACTGGGGAAGCTGAGGCAGGAAGATTGCTGCAAGTTGACAAGCTACAAAATGAGTTCAAGACCAGCCTGAACTGTGTAGCAAAACCCTGTCTCAAAAAGATTACAAAAAACAAAATAAGAGTTACACCTATTTTGTCTTCCAGCAGATTAAGTGTTTCTGTCCTAATATTTAGATCTGAGAGGAATACTTTTTGGTTGTTTAATTAACTGTTTATGTTTGAGTATAAATATCAGCAGGTTTGGTGGACAACGTCAATGCTATGTAAACCTGAATTTTTAAAAGCAAAAATCAGAAGCTCAAACATGTTCATGGAAATTAGAATATATATTGAATATCTTATACTGTAGGATATCTTGAAATTTAAAACATTTGTATTTTTAAAATGTAATGCTAATATAGAAATAGATGTTGCATATTTGTGCAGCTGTATCTGTACTCCTCTAAATGCACTGAAAAGATGAATTTCTGACCCCACTAATCTGAGGACAAGCTCCCAAAACAAGGAGCATCCTCCGTATCCTGTTTCAGGGTACAGTGACATTAGCCCCTTAGGCAGCATTTCCGGCACATCTTTTTCATTCCATAACTATCTTCAAAACACGTGGCTCCCACCACAGGACTAATTCAATCAAATTACTAAAAATGAATTTTTGAAAAGCAATAATATGGTCTGAAATACATGTAACCTAGAAAATCTTCTTAAACACCGATTTTTATCGGATTCTATGAAGCTTGCTTCATGAAATAAATATAATACATGCAGCTATGTTTTGTAGCAACCTAGATCAGTAGCTATTCCACTTGTCTTTTTAGAAAGGCTACTGCAGGATAAGTATAAGCTAGTAGTTTAGAATACTGAAAAAACTGTCAGCAAGAACTCGATAACAATAACTGAAAGAGCTAACAGGTATATAATGCTCACAGGTGTAACAGGCAGCTCTAACACTTACAAATATTGAGTATTTTAATCTTTGCAGCAACTGTATGAGGAAGGAATAGCCTTACTTCCACCTTGGGGTGACTGAGACATAGAAGCTGAATAGCTTTCCTGAGAGGAGGTAGCAGTATGGCAGAGATGTAAGTGAGATGTCCACTCAGACTTGTGGACCCTCAGCAATTTACACACTATAAGACATTTAGCTCTCGTTTGAAAGATTACTCAGGAGAGCATATTGTAAACACACTGATTTGAAAAATTAAAAAGTGTGTTAAGTATAATGCTACATATCCTTGGGTTTATTGGAAAATGGATTGAAAGCATAATAGCTGCTTCTTTGCATTACCGAGTTAATTTTAAATATCCCCTTCTATTTATCCCTCAGATTACTCAAATTTTTCCTTTCCATTGCTTCTTCCAAATACTTGCACAGCCTAATTGAAAGCCATTTTCCTTCCAATATTTCATGCTTACCTACTTGCATTAGTTTCTGGGGGCACCTGCGATATCCAACAGAGTTACGGGCTTCACAGGAATATTCGCCACTGTCCAGCTTGGACACAGTGTTAAATTTCTGTTTGTGGAAGGAAAACACAAAAACATTTTTAAACAATAAACCTCTAAGTAAGCTGCTAAAATAACCATGTCCCTTGTAGTTTATCGATTAGTTGGTTTTTACTTTTTAACAACTCAGGACTTTATATCTTTACAATGAATTCAAAAATCTACCCTGACTTTGACTAGGAAGAAGCTGGACCTCCTGTTTAATTTGACAGAAAAGATGTAAATATAGGGAAGATGATTTTCCTCCAGCCCCATCCTATCCCAGAAGCACTACAGGAAGGCAGTGCCCAGTGTTTAAAGTTTATAGTATCTGCGACTATTACATAGTCTAGGTACTTCCAATTCCTAGGGAAGCCCTATTTATAATTGAAGGCCTCCTGCTGAAAGGATTAACGTATTTCGCTAAGTCACAAACGAGTTCACTGTAGCAGCAAATAACACTTGCTCTAATGTGCCAGACTTACCACCAGGAGTATCTTAGGGCCTAGGAGATCTTCACTGCTACTATTTTTAAGATTATAAATTGTATCAATGCCAGAATTTTTGAAAATTCTTAAAAGAGAAAGCCCAGCCCTTGCTCCCTACCAAAGCAAATTAAAGGCAAGACCTCCACATAGTAGAATTCATAACTGGTACCACTAGTTTTATACCCTTGGAGAATTTCTGGAAGGAGTGAATTCAGATAGAAAGGGAAGAAAGAAGGAAAGGGAGGGAGGGAGAGAATGCAGACCTGAACACCTTGAAGAATTCTGTTACAACTGGAGCGTGAGGGGGTGCTCGGGATCATTCTTTCACCACTCTCCTCATCCTGTCCTCAGTCCCACAGCTGTCACAGCTGACTGCACCCATGGGAGCTGTGAACCTCTGAGGAGCATGTCCTCATAGTCTTGATCCCCCCAAACATATGTTCCTAATACAGCCAAGGCTTTGATCTGATTAAGTTCTTTTCCTCTTTCACTTCTCTTTACCCTCTACCTACGTCTTCCACCTTTCTGTGTATTTCAGCATATTTTGGTAGAAAGCCTTTCCTGGTTGTTTTCACTGGATGAAACCATGTCTCCTTCCCACAAAGCCAGAATACTATTAAAATAGCCACCATAAACTCAGGGCTCAGGTTACATATATGTAACAAGTTGGACTAAAGCCCCAGACAGTCTTCCAGCCCATTACAACTGGCAACTAAAAAGAAGTCCCTGGCATCCACACACCGGAGCCCTCCTTCACCCTTCACCAAGCGACCTGTGCTCCTTCAACCTGGTGCACTCCCCTGACCTCACAAGATGTCTCGAGGGAGAAGGCTGGATGAGGAAAGGGAATCTGTATCATTTCAGAGGTGCCTTAGGCTTTTATCACCTGCTCTGAGAAAAAATAAATTTGAAAAGTAAATATAGCAGAGTGTGCCGGCAGGTTTTCTGCTCAGTTTCTCAGTGGAAAATCACTTGGACCTGCTAACTGCTCCTTCTGACTGCTGAAGGGCCACGGCATGGCCTCATTCGAGGTAGCTCCACCTTCCGGAAGCTGTCTTATTTTGTGACTGCATCAACTTGCTTATTATGTATCAGAAGATAAAATGTTTGATTTTTTGTGGGGTCATTTTGTGGTACTGGCGATTGAACCCAAGGACATCACACTGAGGACATCATCACCCAAGGACATCATCAGACCCTTTTTATTTTTTGAGAACAAGTCTTAAATGTGCAGTCTTCCTGCCTCAGCTTCTCTGAGTGCTGGGGTTCCAGATGTGCACCACCACATCTGATTAGAAGAGCTAGTCTTTAATGTTATTTTACATTAATAGATAGAAGGGATGAAAGGACGCATTATGCCCTCCTTTCAAAATTCTTAAAATTGTTATTATTGCATTATTACCTCATCTTTAAGAGTTAAAATAATTGTAGTAGCGGTGGTTCTCCCACCTTCATTTGCTTCTTGCTGGAAATTAGATATTTTTAAACTGACAAGCTTCAAATTCAAAGGCCTCTTTTTTCATACCCACTTCTATCCAAAAATGTCATGAAGAAAAAAGTAAAAATAGATTTTTTTTAAAGTATCATTAGCTCTAAGGAGCAGATCTTCACCTGGCAATACACTCCTGTAATCCTAGCGCTCTGGGAGGCTGAGGCAAGAGGATCCCACGTTTGAGCTCAGTTTGGGCAACTTAGTGAGATTCTATCTCAAAAACTAAAAAGGGCTGGGGATATAGCTCAGTGCAAAGGCCCTGGGTTCAATCCCCAGCACTAAAAAAAAAGGAACTTGTGTATAGGCTGCCATCAGTATCTGAGAAAGGCCTTTCAATCAGAATAATTTTAAGGATGAAACAATATGAAAATCTGGACTAAATTTAAAGTAACAAATGTTTAAATTATGGAGGGAACCTCTAACAATCCAGAATCATTGGAAAAAAAGTAATGACAGGGACATCCTAGCACAGGTCCACAGGTTTTCTGGCCACTATCGTCACATGGTCAGCACGGGGCTTGGGCATCCTCCCGTGAGCTTTCCTGTGTATCCCTGGTGGTACGGAGATGCACTTACTAATCTTCCAACCAGGAAGGTAGCTCTAGAGAATTGCCTGACCCACAATCATAAACCAGGCTCCGATCTCCAGCTAGATGCTCGTGTGCTCAGCTCTGCGGTTTCCTGTGCTGTCTTCCACCTCCCACAGCAGCCCTTCCCATCACAGCTCTGTGCCAGCACTGATGTCTGTCCTTCTACTCCCTCCTCCCTCCACTGAGCAAGCCATGGCGTCAGTCCCCTGTCCTCCACCACTTTAAGCTCGAGTAATCATTTCATCCGAGTGCCGGTTATTAGGCCAATACTTGAACTTACCAGAGTTCCAGATTTTGTATTCACTGTGTATGAGCTGTTGGCGCTTCCGGAGTCAAGTTTTGGGTTCTCTAGCAAACGGTTGCCGTCCTTAAACCATATGTATTCAGGAGCTGGGTTACCTTCCTTATCTTGACATCGCAGCTCCACCACAGTTCCACTCAGAGCGAAAGAGGGTATTTCACACGATGGAACTGCTGGAGCCACTGAACAGAGGGCAGCAAATGGTATCAGTTACTTGTAAGCTAAATGTGGACTTTAATATCCCAGTAAAGATGTGCTTACTAGACACCTGTAATAGAGACGGCCCCAACTCAATAGGTCCATTTCCTTTGGGCACATGGTAGACCACCTTAGCTCCTTGCTTTGGAGTAGGGGTCATATGCATAAGTCCTGGCCAGTAGAATGTGAGTAAATGTGATATAGCCATTCCCAGCATTGACCTATAAAAATTCCCTTCATGATTGTCCAGTCATTCATCTCCTTGTCCTCTCCTGCTACCAAGTAGCTGGCAACACCGATAATAATCTTGGAAAGGCATGGATAAAAGATATACCATCCATGATCGTACGATCCTACATTGATGATATAATCATATGGTCAGAGATATATGATCCTACATTAGGCCGAGTCTAATGTAATAATGTAATAATTATTACATCTAATGTAATAATCTCATGAAATACAGGAATATGGCTCTACTACCAGCCCTGAGCCAGCATTTCAGGCTTTACTTAAATGAAAAAAAAAAAAACTTCTATCACGTGAAGCTTCTTGTGAAGCTCTTCTGCTGTAACAGCATACATTATCTTAGCCAGTACAACAGTTCTTCTTTTCCTTCTATCTCTACTGCCTTCTTCACTAATGATTTTAATGTTAATTGTCAACTGTGTTCAAAAGAAGTCAAATCTGAGGATATTTTCTAGGTTTGGTACCAAATTAAAATCTGATTCTGCGTATACCTGGTCCAGTTAGAAAGTATCAACTCCAGGAATTAAAGTTATTCTGCTCTCAGGGATTTGAAAAGTAAAGCAGACTTCATCTGATAATCTCATATGAAGGAAACTCTCAAAGTGGTGTGGGAGGTGGTCTCTAAAGTGGTCCCTCAAGGTCCCCATCTTTGGTTCACACATATGCTCTCTCAGTTACTGAATCCAGCTGTAATCTTGGTCCTGTACTGAAGGGATGCAGAGATGTAACGAGGGCCGCAGATCCATTGTCTTTGAGAGAGGGAGGTTTTACAGAGGGGCTGACTTAAAAACATGAGCTGTGAAAGGCAGCAAGCTTTCTCTGGCTGCTCACAGAAGGAAGAGTCAGAGGAGATTCAAAGCACAGCGGGCATTGGAAGGTGATTTATTGCACTGCAGATGGAGCGGGCCAAGAGGCAAGGAATGTGAGTGGCCTCTAAGAACTGATTGTGGCTTCCAGCTGATAAATAGCACTGAATGGGATCTCAGTCCTACAAACACAAGGGAGCAAAATCTGCCAATACCAAGCATGAGGCTGGAGATGGGTTTTCCCCAGAGCCTCGGGCCAAGAATTCAGCCCATCCAACACCTCACTTCAACTCTGTGATACCCTGAGTACAGCCCGACCTTGCTGCTGGACTTCTGATATGTAGAACAGTAAGTTAAGAAGTGAGTGTTCTTTCAAGCTGCTACATTCGTGATAATTTGTTACACAGCAATGCAAAATGAATACACCAGCTGAATCTGCTGATAAATTCCCTGAATTTTTTTTCTATACTAATGCTTTACTAATATTTCAGAAAAAGCCTGGACAACCTGAAAAAGAGAAAGGGAATTATTTTATTTACTTTACTTGGCGGCTTCTGGTAACACTAATGAAGGAGAAGAGATCATGTTCCTTTGGCAATTACCCTGATCTTAGCTGTCGTGGTTCTTATAGCAATTAAACATACCAGGTCTGCAGCTAGCTCATCTGGATCCAGATAATTTAATTTCTATTTCTCCATCTATAAAAAGCAGGTTTCAGTGAAAATGAAGTAAAATTACCTAAAGGTCCTAACACACTAGCTGCAAAATAAATGCTAATTTTTTTTAACCACACACCTTCTAATCCTTCTCATGGCTACATTTTAGCTTTGTTTTTTGTTGTTGTTGTTGTTTTTGTTTTTGTTTTCCTATCATGTGATACTATTTTAGGTGACAGCAGAAACAGTATATTATGCTGAAAGCTATTAGAAAATGAAATCTTAAGGAAAATACTCCTATATATAGATAAGACCACTGGGAATTACATCAATCATAAGGAAAGGTTTTCTGATAGTAAATTAGTGAGAGTAAAATTTCAGCACACACAGTAGTACAGTAGGAAGAAACAATCAAGATCGTGCTGGGAAGGTGGTACCTGCAGTTCCTGCAGCTTTTTTGGTTGAGGATCCTAGTTAGTGCTGCTGTGTCCATGGCTGGGGGGGTCCATGGGCCCCCTTGCTCCAGAGCTGGTGGTGAAGATAGGGCAGGTGACAGTAATCACACAGACACATGCACATTACCTAGTACTTCCAGAGTGATTGTGTCCTCTGCCAGGTTTTGGCCTTGCTCAGATGGGGCACTAACTTCACAACGATATTTCCCAGCATCATTTCTTGTGACATTTTTGATCCGTATACTGAAATCTATTCTCTCAGCTCGATCTTTAAAATCACCTTTAAGGAAAGAAGACAATTATATAAATAACTTCATATGTGAAATCTTCCACAAGTCATTTTAATAACTAAGCATTCATTTTCCTGCTAGTAAACTCAGTTTTAAACCTTAAAAATTGCTGAGCATGCTGATGTATGTTTGTAACTTCAGCACTCTGAGAGGCTGATGCAGGAGGATTGCAAGATCAAGCCCAGCCTAGATAACTTTGTGATTAGAAATAAGATTCAGAAGGAATATTTTAAGTTTTCTATGAACTAAAAACATGTTTCTGTTTAATTCTTTAAAATTAAATAATACATAGTTTTAAAAAAATAATCACATGTTTATTATCCTTGTTAAATTGTATTTTCATAAAATATTTATCATGGAAAAATCCAAACATCTAATTAGAGAACAGAGGAACATAAACTTCAGTATACCCATTCTCCATCTGTCAACAGTAATCAGTGTGTGTTCTATCTTATTTCATCTGTACCCTTAACCAACGGATGATTTTTAAGCAAATTATGTCATAACATTTCATCCATTATTACCTCACTTTTCATTGAAAGCACATTGTACACCCAACAGGAAGAGCAGAGTTTGGAAACAAATACATAACACATAAAAAGCATTTTGCTACTGGTCAGTGTAATTACCTTTCCTTAGGTCCTAACTCCCCGAGCTTCTCGTGGTGGCAGCAATCTTCCATCCCAAACTCACACCATTTTCCCCTCTTTTTATCTTGATAGTTTAATCTACTGAGAAAACAAGGGCCCCGGGTCCCAGTGGGATTCACTTACTTCTGTTCTCTGGTCTCTGTTTTTGTGGTTGTTATGTTTTAAGTGAGACACTGTTGGTTTCCCTTCACACTTACAAACACAGATTTTCAGGAACCGGTCCTGTCTTGTTCCTACTTTTAGATTAAACGATCTGGGCTGTATTCTCTTCATCTCACCTCATCAGGTCTGCAACGTCTTACCTTGGAAAGCCTGTTGGTAGTAGACGAAGGAGATGCCCCGCCCCAGTTTCTTCCACTCTAATCTGGAGGAAATGGGCTTCTTTGGATTTCTACAGGCTAAAATAGCCTCTAGAAACAACAACAGAAATATTTTATTTTCTAATTGTCCCCGTGAATTTATATTTTACTAAGTTAACAAATTTTAAACATCCTTAACTTACTCCTTTACATTTCTACTCATTTGATTCATTTATTTATTCATTCATAACTTACATCAACAGGTACCCTGTTGGCTTAGCCCAAAACTGAACTGGAAGCATTACAGCTCTTCCACATCATGATGTGACACTATTCTGCTTTCTTTTAGTTACTGAGCCTGATTTTCCAACAGCAAAATAAGGTTGTACCTCTTAGAGCTGTTGTGAGTCTTCAAATACAATAATATATGCAGAGCACCGAGGCCTAACCATAATAAAGACTTAACAATCAGGAGCTACAATTAATTTCTTATCTTATTATTCCCTATCAGCCCTCAAGGAGTCTACAGTCTGCTGGAAGAGGTAAATAAAGTAATATTTCAGTCAGCTCTGATGAGCACCAAGGCCGAGGCATAGGGAGGGCGCTATACACTTAGTGCCTAAGCAAGGCACCTTGTCCAGGCCAAGCTATGCTGCTGGGGAATCCCAGAGATATTTTCCCAGCAGGCTCCCTCTCACTTGGATCCCTTCTTTGTTGATCTTCTCTACAGTATATTAACATAAACACAATATGGGCCTCTAACAAATCGGTGATTCCAGCACCCCAAATGACCGCTTGTATAACCTTGCCTCAAAGCAGATAAACTATTAAAAGTTTTAACCTCAGCATCAAATGGAACATCCTCAATGAGATTAAATTCATTTAGTTGTAGGAAATTTACTGCAATTGCATCACTGAAGAATTCCTGGAACCTCCGAAGGAGTCATTTTTTTCAACTGTCTAAACAAGATGACTGAGGGGAGGAACACGTAGTGCTGGCGTGCAAACAGCCTAGTTGCCAGACAGAACCCTACAGCTATAAACAGTTTTAAAGCATGCTTCACCCAGGCTCTCTAAAACATAAAATGAATATTTCCGAGAGATTTTCTTCCCACAAGGCAAATCATACGCCTTTAAGAAAGCAAACTGTCTTTGATTAGGAGACAAATTATGTTAAGATCTTTTCCATAACTTTGATTTTTGACATTAAGCAAATTTAGTGCTGTGTAAAAATGTTATCCCAGACTTTATTAAAGATACACACACTGACATGGACAAAAGCCTGGAAGTACATGTGTGGCTGAAAACTGTACCAAGTGATGATTTCTTTTTGGAAGCATGATGATTTTCTTCTTTATACATACAGTCTGTATTAGTATTAGGTAGACTCATTGCTAGAAATAAAGAAATGGAATAAAAACAAGCAGAAAATAGGGCAGAGAAAAGAAAGGCAAGGAAAAAAAGAATCAAAAGTTGTTTTGAAGGATGCTTAAAGTTTCTAAAACAGGTTTTCCATGACAAAGAAATATCATTTTACAAAGTGTTTACAGCTATGCTACAGAGACAAATGTGTGCTAAGGGACCTGTCTGAGGAAACGCAGCTCTGTTCTGTTGATTAAGGAGAGGGGGTGGTGACCTTCCGGAGTCTTGAGTTTTAGATAGGTTTCCTTCCCGTAGTTTGTTGAATTTCCCAACAATTAAACCCACACCCACACTCATTTTTTTACTCATTCTCCATGTCTTATTCTTACATTTGAAGAATCATTTTAGACTCAGTCACATTGTTCCATGTATTTTTTCATACACACACACACACACACACACACACACACACACACCACACGTACACCCCACACACCCATCTTGGTGAATTCTTCATGATTTGTGTCCTCACTGCTCTATGGGAAAAACTAAGGAAATTATATTAGAAAATGTAATCAATGGTTTTTCTACATCCACTAACTTTACTCCAGCCCTCCCACTCCCTCACTGACCATGTAAAATGTGGAGATGGTCTACCCAACTTGTCCAAAGTATGTTAAGTATTTCCCATGTCTGACACTGTTCTTGAGCTATACCAATGAATATAGCAAAGAACTCCGGCCCTTTGGGATTTTACAGCCTGGCTGGGGAAGTGAGGCAAACAGCAACATCAGAAGGGAACCTGCAAGCCCGGCCTGGTGGGGCACGCCTGTAATCCCAGCACTTGGGAGGCTGAGGCAGGAGGATCGTTGCGAGTTTGTGACCAGCCTGGGCTACAAAGGGAGCTCAAGGCCAGCCTGAACTACACAGCGAAACCCTGTCTCAAAAAGGCGAAAAAAAAAAAAAAAAGAAGAAGGGAACCTGCAGTACCTCCGAGGGCGAGGAGTGCTGCGGGGGTTGGGAGAGTACAGCAGAGCATGTGAGGCTGGGGACTGCTGGGAACAAGGGTGTAATTTTAAAAACCAGGGTAGTGAGAGTTCACCCCTTTTAGAATATGTCATACGGGCCTTTGAGAATGAGTGTCCACAGCAGGGAAAAGCCAGAACCTAGAACCTAGGGTGCCAATATCTTGAACATTTGCCTCCAGAACTGTGAGTGCATAAATCTTTGTTATTTGAAGCCACCTAGTTTGTAGTATTTTGTTATGGCAACCACAGGAAATGAACAAAGATATTAAAAAATACTGGAATCATGGGGTCAGTGTGAAGATAAAGAGTCAAATGAACCTAGAAGCTAACTCTCACAGACTTTCCTTGATTTCTTTAGACAAAATTCAACGCTCACAGCCAGCATAATTTTCTGACCTAGCTTCAGAGGTACTATAACATAACATGCCAATCCACAGCATAGGGTTTAGAGTTAGTGCTCTGTCATGCACTAGGTATGTGATAACGGGAAAATTACTTTCTGTTTTTGAATTTTATGTCCACATTCATAAAATGATAAAATAGGAGGAGAGGTGATTGTGAAAAATAGAGAAATCAAAATATATCATGTACAGGTACAATTTCCCTATGATGAATAAGATCTTCATGTATATTTTATTTTATTTTATTATTATTATTTTTTCTTTGGTACTGGAATCAAACTCAGGACCTTGCACTTGCCAGGCAGGCGCTTGTGCTGCTGAGCTATATCCCCAGCCCTTCATGTATATATATATATGTTTTTTTTTTTTTTCTTTTTTTTGAGACAAGGTCTTCCTGTGCAGTTCAGGCTGGCCTTGAGCTCACTTTGTAGCCCAGGCTGGTCTCGAATTCATAACAATCCTCCTGCCTCAGCCTCCCGAGTGCTGGGATTACAGGCATGCACCACCACGCCCAGCCCTTCATGTATATTTTTAAAAATATAAAATAATAGTGCTCACCTTACAAAGCTGTCATAAAGATTAAATGAGAGGATGTACACACTTGGTGCGCATGACAGCTTGCACACGGTACACACTCCAGACACGGCCATTATTATTTTCACCCATGGGAACTTCTCTTCAGTTGCAAGCTTGCCTTGATGTAACAGAAACCTGCACTTGACACTACCACAAATTTACCCATAAATCCTTTAGTTCCTAACTCAGAACTAAAAGGTTACCTCTGTTTTGAACATAAAAGAAAATATCATCACAGTTTTTTTCCCTCAACACAGGCATATTAAAACAGAAAAAAAATTGTCAAGTTTTTTCTATTAAGGTGATTCATTCATTGCCAAAACACCTGTTTCATGTAGTGGAGAGCAGATAATCATTTAGAAAAAGCATGAGCAGGAACATGTAGCAAAATAATCACTTATAAGATAGGAGAATCATTATAAATTTTAATCTTTCTAGGATTCTGTGCTGCTATCTTTTGACTTTACTCTTAGTGAGTTAAATATCCTACATAACAAGAAAAGAATCGATCCTACCAAAGTAGTTCTGAGGAATTAGCAGAAACTACTTCTGAGAAGAAACACTTGCTATTAAGTAAACTCTGATTAATAGCATTCAGGGTTGGACACGCTTCTCACCGGGCTGTTCATGTCATTCACAAGCCTGACAGCGCTGCCCCAGTCCAGTCCCGGCCTGCTTTTGGCACCAGCATGCAAGTGATGCAGACCAGCAGAACCAGAAAGAAGGGATTAACTCACAGATTTCTGACACTGGAGAAATAAGAGATTAAAACCTGAATGAAATGGGTAGGACACACATGCACATATGTACAAATCACAAAATATTATAAACTTTAAGTAAGATGAAGCTGCTGTGTAAAATAGCCTAAAAGTAAAATATGGAAGAACACAGAAATTTATGTTTGCCATATTGGAATAACTGGTCACAAATAAATTGGAATTAAACTGAAATTTTCAGTTAAAAATCACAGCAAACACTTATTTTGGAGTGAGACCAACGCTTTTTCTTGGCTAGGGCTTGAACCCAGGTCCTTGAACGTACTAAGCATGTACTCTACCACTGAACTGTATCCCCAGCCCTGAGACTAACACTTGATTGCAATAGATCACAGAAAGACATTACAAATACATTCAAAATAAAACCTGCATTAAAAAGTAATGTAATTAGGTGCAAGGTTTCTTTTTTTTTTTTTGGTTTTTTTCCGGTACCGGGAACTGAACTCACAACCTTGCGCTTGCCAGGCAGGCGCTTTTTGCCGCTGAGCTAAATCCCCAGCCCCTAAGGTTTCATTTTTAATTTAGGAGTGAGAGAAATGTTCTGCGTCCAGGTAGAGGTGGCAGTTGCATAAGTGGTGAATATACTAAATGCCACTAAACTGTTCATTTTAAAATGATGGTTTTTAGGCTATGTGAATTTTCCCTCAGTACATTTGTAAAGTACTGGAAGACTAGAGGATGTAATTTTGATGTGCTCATTCAGATATCATGGTGCAGAGCGTAAGAGACAGGGATGTACACCTAACTGGGCCCAGCAGTCGGCCCTCCAGTGGGGAGCAGGAAAACACACTTCACTCCCTTTGTCCCTCAGGGACATTCTGCTCCATTTGCCTCTCCGCTGTGCTTGTTCTTTCAGCCTGGCCAGGCTCCTTTCTGGCATCCGACCCAGCCCTGTTTGTCCTCCCGTTAAGTACTTAGTGCAAACTACTCCCAAACACTGGTTTTCTCTTCCCACCGCTCCTCATTTAAAACTAACCCACAATAAAGTGGGGCTCATTAGCTAAATCATGTAAAATATCAGAGCTTCAAAGGATCCAGATAACCTCAGTAATTATTTCAGTGATTTATTGTGAAGGGATTTGTTATTTTTGAGTGATGGACTTGTTCTTAATTTTCACACATTTTTCCTTAAGGAAGGCACATAACACTTATTCCGTCCTAGGCACGACTGTAAGTACTGTACAAAGACTATCTTGTTTAAATCCGGACATCAGGCTTCTTTAATCTTTGTCTCTTTCAAGCCTATTAGCCCAATTCTGGGAACTGAAAACGTATTTGAAGATGAGAACTCAGACATTTGTTTGTTCCAGCTGAACTTGAACTTGGACCCCAGACTCCCAGAACGCTGGGATTACAAGAGTGTGCCACCATACCGGATCATCTCTAGCCTTAAAAAAGCATAATATATTAGAAATGACAATTATCCTGATTGCTATATATTATTAATTATATTCAAGTAAAAGATCTTTTGGAAAAAGATGTCAATATTTGAAGTAAACTCATAAAAGCCTTAAGGCACTACTTTTTTGCTCATTAATTCCCTTCAATAATTTTTTTTGTTTTGTTTTGCTTTTTGAGACAGGGTCTTGCTATGTAGTTCAAGCTGGCCTTGAACTCACTGTGTATGCCAGACAGGCATCAAACTTGTGGCAATCCTCCTGCCTCAGCCTCCTGAGTGCTGATATTTTAGGTGCGTGCCACCATGCCCAGCTACTTCCATTAACGGTGGCAAAAATACACATAACTAAAATTTATCCTTTTTTTTTTTTTTTTTGTTGAGGCAGCATCTCACTGTATAATTCAGGCAGGCCTCAAACTCAATATTGAACCCAGGTGGCCTCGAACTCACAGCAATCTTCCTTCCTCAGCCTCCCAAGTGCTACGATTACATGTGCCACCATGCCCAGCTGTTAAAATTTATTATTTTAATCATTTTGTACTGTACAGTTAAATAACATTAAGTGTATTTACACTGTTGTGCATTTAATTTCCAGAATTTTTTCATTTAACAAAATTTCAACTTTATACCCATTAATAAATCCTAAGAATATTTTTATGCTGCTACAAATGTTAGCTCAAAATAGAATACATTAATGTCACCTCAAATGCTTAGAGTGGGGTTGAGGTACTATTTCCATTCACCATCTTTAACTAGTTGGAAACTTTTTAAGATCGCTAGCTCCCTGTTTCACAAATTAGACTTTCTTCATGGCAGCTATTATACCTCAGAGATCTGTCTTTTATTGATTTTCCAAAATTTCTACTGAGATGGAGCAAGAGTTGTCAAGATGGAATCAGCGTAGAGCATTTCAGGTAGAAGAATTAGTGTAGGGTGAGGCAGAAGATCCCAACAACTAGAAATACAGTTTCACATAGGTCATCCTCAGAAGGTATTTGAAGAATACAACTCAGAAAAATGAGACACTATACCTTGGTACTCTATCGCTGTGACTACTTGACGGCCTTTTGAGGCAGATAATCCATACGCCTTATGATCTGAAACATTAAAAGAGACAGGGTAATTAAAATAGCACACAAGCCTATCTTAAAATATCGGTGTGGGATGAAATATACAAGCAAACTAGCCTAACTTTGAGAATAGGTTTACCCACTTCACAACATATAAGTTTTGTTTGTTTGTTTGTTTTTTGTCTTTTTTGAGACAGGGTCTCACTATGCAGTTCAGGTTGGCCTTGAGCTCACTTTGTAGCCTGGCCTGGTCTAGAACTTGCAGCAATCCTCTTGCCTCAGCCTCCCGAGTGCTGCATGCATTACAGGCATGCACCACCATGCCCGGCATAAGTTTTAAAGTACCAAAATAGGAGAATCAAACTATGTGTGTTTCTACCAGTTTATGTATTGTGGCTTGGACATTTAAGCACTTCTCAAAGCAGAACCAGTAGATGTTTTCTGGCTGTCCCACAGATAACATTCTCCTAGCTGTACTGAAAACAACAATTTATGTCCTTAATTCACCTTAATATACAACATTGGTGTCTGTCTGTCCATCTGTTCATCCATCCATTCATCTACCAACCCATCCATCCATCATCCATCCAGAAACTGTTTTTCTGATTCAGCTATTTCTTTCCATATAGTATTTTATCCTGTCATTGACTCAATTACCATTTATTTGCCAAAAAGTATTAAGTCTATATCTTAGTTCTAATTTCTACTCTGAGATGAAATCCATAAGTCCCCAACACACACACACACACACACACACACACACACACACACACACACACGCTGGACATTAAATCTTTATTCCCTACATGTCCCACAGACTCAAGGGCACAAGTGACCTGTCAGTGTGCTCCCAAATTTTGTTTTATTTTACAAATCTCATCACAGTGAAAGGCATTAAATCCACATGATCACTCCTGTTAGAATCTTAGGTGAAGTCCATGATCCACTCATCCTCTCACCCATTCACTTACCCATTTCTAATCTATGGAGGAAGATTGTGTGTCACCGAGGGAAATGTTTCGAAATAGTTGTCCTTTTTTCATTGCCCTTTTCTATTTTTGTATGCAGTCTTTGCCTCAAGGAGGGCGTCTAGATAGCCCAAATCTTTGTCATACTTAAAAAGTCTGGTCATCACGGAAATGAAAAATTTATAGTTTAGGTAAACATGTACAAGAAACCATTTTGACTAAAACATGCTTGTTCCCCAGATATGAGGTAGTGTGGAGAAGGGTGTTGCAGAATGCAGATCTCCGCGGGCTATTGAGAAAGAACAGCAATGGCTAACGTTTACAGCACTTACGTATCAGGTGACAGTCTCAGTGCTTTACAAGTGTTAGCTCATTTAACTCTCACAAGAACTCTCCTGTAGGGTACCATTTTGATCCATATTTTTTCAGGTGCAAACACTGAAGTACACAGAGAATAAGAAACTTAGCCAAGGTTATACAAATAATAAATGGTAGAGCTGGGTTTGAATTCAGCCCATCTGTACCCAAAGCCCACACGGTCAGTTACAATAGTATACAGTACGGGACTGAACTGAGTTCCCCACACTCAGTTTCCCTCCGCTGAACTCCGAGCAAGGATTGCTGATAAATAAAGATGCCAGGTGAAATGGCCCACTGCTACAAAGGACATAAAAAAGTTGAAAAATTGGTTACAGTGGAGGCAACATTGGCACTGCAGTGTAAGAGGAAGGTGGAAATAAAGAGGTTGTGCCTAGGCAATCCAGAGGTAAGGAGAGCACGGTTTCTCAATCTTGACACTATTGATCTTCAGGGTTTAATCACTGTTCTGCATAATATTCTGCAGTATTCTTGGCTTCTACTTTCTAGATGCTGGTAGTACCACCCACTCCCAAATGACAACATCTGCAAATTTCTTTAGACATTGGCAAAGAAATGTCCCTGAGGGTGGGGCATAGGAAGTACTCCCGTGCTACACTTCCGGTGAAGGTTTCTGAAGAACCAGTCATAGAAATAAACCACTATTCTAAAAGAAAGCAAGAACAATTTCAAGGGGTTTGAAACTTCCTCTAGAGTCAGAATTTCATAACTAAGAAGGATATTTTGTTATATTTCCTAGAAGAAGAAAACATATTTCATGCAAGGCAGCATTGTTTTCTTTAAGGTATTTATCCATAGTACATCAACATGCAAACTAGACTTTATCCTTCTTAAACAACAAGTGCTATTCTGGAGAAATTTTCTTTGCTCCTTTTTCTCTCCCTTACAAACCAGGACAGAAAATCTAAGTGCGAAACTGACTCTCAAAGTCTGTAGTTCACATATGCTCAGCTCCGATGCCTAAACACCCAGGTTCTGTATCTAAACTGCTCCGATCTTCATTACAGAAATTGGTAACCCTGGTACTGATGTAAAGAATGTAGGACTGAACTGATTTTTGTTATTAACCCCTGCAAATATGCCTGTAGAAAGCAATGGCCCATGCTATAGAAGTGTCAGGGCCAAGCAGGAGCCATTTAGAAATAATTCTTTTGCTTCTATATTTAAGAACCATGAAAGGGGACCAAGAAATCTCTTTCAATAAGCTTTCCCATGTTGCATACAATTCCGTCATGTGCCAGCTGTTTTATATCTTTTTCCCATATTTGTGAAATCTCCTATCTCCTGCCCCCTAATGCTATTCTTTCCCGCCTTCTGCTCTCTTTCCTGAAATTTTTTACAGCCCAAAGGCCCAGCATCTTTAGAGAGAGAAAGAAGGGTTGAGACTACGTTGGCAAGCCAGAATCTTCAGAACTGAACTGAGGAAATGACAGAACTACGTATGTTCTTGTATTATCCTACATTTAGGGACAAAAGCTCCGGATATTTTGTAAGGATTGATTCCAAAACATTATTCTGTGAAACCTTTAAGACACTTTGACAAAGTCTCTTTCCTCGTTTAAAAATATGTTTATGAGTATCCTTATAGATGCACCATGGTAAGCTGACAAGTCAACATGTAACCTCCAGCATGGTGCTGGGTGTGGGGGCCCCACCTGAGGATTGTTGCCAACGGCACAGAAGGAGAACTGGAGAGGAAGAAGGGAGGCTGTTGGTTCTCCTGGAGAAGCTCATCATGCTAGCTTTCCTGATATGAACTTGGCTGTTCTCACTGTCAAAGGAGCGTGGGACCTCATTGTTACTTAGAATGGCTGTGGTTCACTTTAAGGGAGCTCCGGTCCTCGTTCTGAGCATCGTTTCCTGGCTCCAGAGGGGAAGAGCACACTGCTCAGTTGCCTGGAGAAGCTGGTCAAGCTGGCTTTCCTGATACAAACTCAGCTGTCTCATCATCAGAGGAGCTCGGGACCTCAGTGTCACTGAGGATGGCTGTGGTACTTCTTGAGGGAGCTCAGGTCCTTACCTTGAGTGTTGCTTCCTGGCTCCAGTTCAGATCCCTCAGCCTGCTGGCACAGATCCTTCATTCCACTGGCACAGACTTTCTAGCTTCCACCACTGACCTTCGGGCCTCCCCAGCACAGATCCGTGAAACAGACTCGCATGAGACATTGTCACGTTCTCTGGGCCTCCAGCTGGACTGTGGGAGGCATTGTCATGGGCTCTAGGTCTTCAGCTGGACTCATGCAGAGCATCATCATGAAATCCATGCCCTCAGCTGGATTCTTTGTGTCCTGAGTGTGTGGACAGATTTCCTGCACCCTTTTGTATTTGACTCTTTGGGTGATTATCATAAAATAATCCTATAAATTATGTGTCCTGTATTAAACTGTTTCCCTTATAAACCCTGACTACCACACGCACTCATTATGGCTGATAGTTTTTATGATTTTGAAGTATTTTAGTACACATGTTTTAGACAAAACAGTGAAGAGTCATATTCCTTAGAAACCAGTTGAGAGGAAAATCTGGACAAAAAAAAAGTAATCTTTGTTCTCTCCACATCATCACATCTTTGAAGTTTTCAAATGTCGTGCTGCCTACTGAGAATATTTGTTTTCTTTAGTAGGCCTGGCTTTCCTTCATTTGAGCCAAACTTTAGCACATTTGAGATTAGAAAATTTAGGAGGTAGGTCAGGAATCATTGAGAAAATCTTTGCCTCTTTCTCAATTCCTTTTTTTTCACTTCCTAAAATTTCTTTTGAGAAATGTTTAAAATTCTTCCATAATCACTAGAAGTTCTATGGAAAGCCACATGGAATGTGAGGGATTTCATTTATTCCTTCATACATTTTACATGCGTCTATTTGAACAGAACAGAAATGTTTCCCAGACACTAAAAAATTTGAATTGACAAAGCTATAAAAGAGGCTTTTTTGTTTTTAATATATTTTTATTTACTTATTTTTAACTGACATACAAAAAAATAAAAATAGTACATGTTAGTGGGGAACCATACAAAACATAGGTGCAATGTCTAGGTAAGGTTAAACATGTGTGTCTCTTCAAACGAGTATCCTTGCTTTATGGTGACAAATTCCAAATTTCTCTCTTCTGGCATTTTGAAATCCACAACACAGAACAGTTATCTACGTCACCCTGTTGTGCAATAGTACACCAGAACTTCTGCTTCCTGTCTCTCTGCATCTCGGTACTCATGAGTCAGCCTTTCCGCACCCTCCCTTTCCTCTGCGGAGGTAACCACCGCTCCACTCTCATGTCTCTGAGAACAACCTTTTTGGAGTCCACATGGCAGTGAGGTCATATGGTATTCGTCTTTCTGTGTCTGGCTAATTTCACTTGAAATAATGTCTTCCAGTTCCATCCATTTTGCCGCAAATGATTGGATTTTACCTTTTTATGGCTGAATAGTATTCTGCTGTGTGTATGTTCCACACTTTCTTTATCATCAGTTGACGGACACATGGGTTGTTTCCATTTCTTGACTGCTGTAAATAGTGCTACAGAGAACAGGGGAATGTAGATGTCTGTCTCTTTGATTTACTGATTCAATTTGTTTTGGATATACACCTAGGAGTAATTGGGATTAATTCTAATAATAAAGAGGTAGTATTTGTTGATAGCTGAAAATTTACTTCTGTGATTCTAAGCATCTAATCTTCTTGC